TTATGATGAATATCTTAACAAGTGTCAAATTTGCAAGAAAAATAACCATATTGCGAAGGATTGCGACTTCCGTTATGCCGAGAGCAACACCCAATGCAAGAACGTTGCAGCTGCTGTGGACGCCTCCTATGGTGTGGACACGAACTGGTACGCTGACTCCGGCGCCTCCAATCACATCACTCACGAGCTGGACAAGCTGACCATGCACGACAAGTACCCCGGGCAAGATCAGGTTCATAATGCCAATGGAGAAGGTATGGAGATAGCTCATGTTGGTCATTCAATTATTGCAACCCCTCATCGTGACATTCACCTCAAAAACATCTTGCATGTTCCTCAAACTGCCAAAAATCTTCTTTCAGTACATCATATTGCTCTTGACAACAATGTTTTCCTTGAATTTCATCCCTATTTCTTTTTGATCAAGGATCAGGTCACACGGAGAATTCTCTATCGCGGTAGATGCGTGCGTGGGCTCTACCCTCTTTTTCCCAAGTTCAGAAGCTTCAATAAACAAGTCTTTGGTGTCATCAAAATCTCCCCGGACAGGTGGCATGCTAGACTAGGACATTCATCTTTTTTTGTCGTGCAACAAGTGCGTAGCATCGAAACTGTCTGTGATTCTTGTCAAAAGGCAAAATCTCATCAATTGCCATATCATATTTCTACCAAGCCGCTCCAACTTATTTTTTCTGATGTATGGGGTCCTGCCCCCTCCTCGGTTGGTAGACATACGTACTACGTTAGCTTCATTGACGATTCCAGTAAATTTACTTGGATTTACCTTCTCAAACGTCGTTTCGATGTTTTCCAAGTATTTAAGAATTTTCAAGCACTTGTTGAACGCAAGTTTGATCGCAAAATAATTGCCGTCCAGTCCGACTATGGTGGTGAGTACGAGAAATTAAACTCGTTTTTTCAAAAACTTGGCATTTCCCATCATGTTTCTTGCCCCCACGCACACCAACAGAACGGCTCCGCTGAACGCAAGCATAGGCATATTGTGGACGTAGGCCTCGCTCTTCTTGCAGGTGCTTCTATGCCCTTGAAGTTTTGGGACGAAGCGTTCCTCACCGCTGTCCACCTTATTAATATGCTCCCTAGCCGTGTCATCAATAATGAAACTCCTATGCAACGACTTCTCCAAGTTCGTCCTGATTACAAGTCTCTTCGTGTTTTTGGATGTGCATGTTGGCCAAATCTCCGTCCCTACAATAATCGCAAACTTGTGTTTCGTTCCACCCAATGTGTGTTTCTTGGCTATAGTGCCCAGCACAAAGGTGTCAAGTGTCTTGACGTACCCATGGGACGTGTCTACATCTCCAGGGATGTCGTTTTTGACGAGACGATTTTCCCTTAGCCACACTACATCCAAATGCTAGTGCCCTCCTTCGCAAAGAAATCCTCCTTCTTCCTTCTCATTTGACCTCTTTGCATCATGGGGACGATAATTGTGATCACATGACTAACCCTCCTAACCTTGAGCTTGAGTCTTCTGGTACTGCAGGGTCGGATGCGGAAGCAACAGAAAAAAATTTGGTGCAAAATTGTGAAGCAAACAGGCCAAACGAGCAATATTTCATGTGTCCCCCGTGGTGCAACAACCCTGCAGCCGAATCTCGGGATCACCCTCGACAGGATCTGCCTCGGGATCCCCCGAGCCGCGTCAGGACCCGGGCGGCAGCGCCCCCTCCAACTCCGCGTCTGCAGGCCCCCCGCCCACGCCACGCACGCCTCGCCAACCTGGGGATGCCATGCGACGGGCCGCGGGCCCGCTCTCCCCCACGCGCGCATCGGCTTCCGCAGGTCACCCGATCGAGCGGTTCGGTGTGGAGCCGCGCGTCTACACCAGGCGCCTCCACCAACCAGCTGCGGGCACGGGAACCGATCCGGATCTGGCGGCGGCTCCGCCTGGATCTTCTGCGCCATCCTCGCTCGTGTCTTCACCATCGCCCGCCACAGAAGATCTGGCAAAGGGAATCTGCTTCGGATCTGCTGCAGCAGACCACATGATCTTCTGCACCAGCGGAAACTGCACCTGTTCCTGATGCACCACGAACACGTCTCCGATCAGGGGTAATCCAACACACAAATTACAAAGTTAAGTTAGGTTTGACATGTTCCACAGGTGAACCTCGTACGTTCCACGAAGCATGCAAGGATTCACGTTGGAAAAAGGCAATGGAAGAAGAATTTCAAGCGTTGCAGAAAAACAAAACATGGCATCTAGTTCCTGCACACCGAGGTAAAAACTTAATTGATTGCAAATGGGTATTCAGGATAAAGAAGAAATCAGATGGCACCATAGATCGCTATAAAGCTAGGCTTGTTGCCAAAGGATTCAAACAGAGGTACGGTATTGATTATGAGGATACATTTAGTCCTGTCGTTAAAGCTGCAACTATCCGTCTTGTTTTGTCCATCGATGTGTCCAGAGGATGGAGCCTCAGACAGCTAGATGTACAGAACGCGTTCCTTCATGGTGTTCTGGAAGAGGAAGTGTACATGCGTCAACCTCCTGGTTTTGAAGTCAGGAACAAACCCTCATATGTGTGCAAACTTGACAGGTCTCTTTATGGATTGAAACAAGCCCCTCGAGCTTGGTATTCACGGCTAAGTACAAAGCTTCGGTCACTTGGTTTTGTGCCCTCAAAGTCTGACACATCTCTGTTTATCTACAATAAGTCACATATCTCCATATTTGTGCTTATTTATGTTGATGATATTATTGTTACAAGTTCATCCAGTGCAGCAGTAACAGCCCTGTTAAAAGACTTGAATGCTGACTTTGCTCTCAAGGATTTGGGAGATTTGCATTTCTTTCTTGGCATTGAGGTCAAGAGAAACAGGGAAGGTGGTCTTCATCTCTCTCAGGAGAAGTATGCAGCTGATCTCCTAAGCAAGGTTGGCATGCAAGGGTGCAAATCCTCACCTACACCGTTGTCGAGTACAGAGAAGTTATCTCTTGAAGAAGGTGAACCCTTGAGTCCTGATGACAGTACAAGGTACAGAAGTATGGTAGGAGCTCTTCAGTACCTAACTCTTACAAGGCCTGATATTTCCTTTGCTGTAAACAAAGTTTGCCAATTCCTTCATGCACCTACCACTGCACATTGGACTGCTGCGAAACGCATATTAAGATATGTAAGGATACTTTGAGTATTGGTCTGACATTCAGCAAGTCACCATCCACTCTTGTTAGTGCCTTCTCTGATTCTGACTGGGCAGGGTGCCTAGATGACAGACGCTCAACAGGTGGTTTTGCTGTTTTCTTTGGACCTAACCTTATCTCGTGGTGTGCAAGGAAACAGGCCACAGTCTCATGGTCAAGTACTGAGGCAGAATACAAGACTTTAGCAAATGCAACTTCAGAAATTATTTGGGTCAAATCCATGCTCAGAGAACTTGGAATAGGTCATGCACAACCCTCCTGTCTCTGGTGTGATAATCTTGGTGCTACATATTTATCTGCTAATCCTGTTTTCCATGTAAGAACAAAACATATCGAAATTGATTATCATTTTGTTCGAGAAAGAGTTGCAAGCAAAGAATTGGAAATTCGTTTTGTTCACTCCAAAGATCAAGTTGCAGATGGGTTCACAAAGGCTTTGCCTACAAGACAGTTTGAAGAATTCAAGCGTAATCTTAACTTAGTTAAGTTATGATTAAGGGAAGGTGTTAAACATGTAAACTCTGTCATGTACGTTGCCTTGTGCGGCTGCCTTGTGCGCCAAGGGTTTTTATAGGAGTAGGATCTTTTATCTTGTTATTCTCTCTTATCCCTCCTGTAATATCTCTACGGTTGTAACCTATGAGAGATGGGTCTCTCCGCAATCAATATAAACACCACGCGGCCCTCTGTACGAGGGTAGAGACGCTTACACAAAACTAACAGTCTCTACTCTAGCGCTGGAATGTCGGTCTTGAAATAAATAATATGCTCTTAGCTCGTCGTTTTGGATTTTCTTCCCGTAACTTTGTACTACCTTCGTTCACAAATATAAGATGTTTTGAATATTTCAATATGGACTACGTACGGACTGAAATGAGTGAACAAACACACTAAAACGTGTCTATATACATACGATTCAAAAAAAGTTATAACATCTTATATTTGTGAACGGAGGGAGTATTGGTTAAGCAGATTTGGTTGAAGTTCTAATTCGCTAGCTTGTGATCTGACATGGGACCCAGTAAATTCTGTACCGAGAACTTGTCAATTTGAAGATACACCTTCAGTTATGTGCACAACTCATTACCGGCGTGCTTTCTTCAAATTTTGTCACTTTTTTCTTTTATCAAACAATGCATTAGTGATGTCTGATCAATGTGAAATAGGTAAGAACAGAAGAGGAAGCATACGTGGAATCCTTTCTAAAGGTTTCACTTCTCCTGGCCGACCAGAAGTTGATCAAGGCTCGGCATCATGGCTCTAAGATGGTTCAGGTCCTTCCTAACACTTTACTTCATTATAGTGCTTCATGTACATACTCTGAGATGACTGGGACCCTTCATTTTTTTTATTTCCTTTGCATTGGTCATTTTTTTAAATTTTTTTGCAGCATCTCTGGAACTACAGGAGCGACAAACTTCGCGGCGCTGATCTTGTAAAATTGGAATTTCCTCTGGTTATATTCCAACCTGATTTAGTTTCGAGGAGTGCAGAAGCCATTTCAGAGGAAATAGCGAACACAAAAGATGGGAGCATCCTGGGTAAATCAGATGGGAGCAGAGCAGAAAAATCTGACGGGAGTACTGACAGTAGAAGCAGCATGTCTGATAAAGGACCCCAGAACAGTGATTGGAGTGCGACGCCCACGGTATACTCTTTGCATTATGATTAGTTTTTTGTATGTCCCTTTATGATGCGTCCTGCTTTGTTTAGACATTTAAATGTGTGACAATTGTTTTTACCAGTTGGTGCACATATTTTATTTCAAGAGAGATGCACCCTGACTATAATATACTTTTTTTTTTCTGTTCTTGAATGTGCTTTGTTGATGGTACAGGGAATCAATGAAACGATGTCTTCTTATCAAGGAATGGACTGTCTTCTCCTTGCAGAGCATAATTTATTACGTGAGGCATTTATTATTGCAATGTCTTGTCTAGGGTATGATTTTCTTCCACTAAATTGGATTGTCTGGTATCCAACTGCATGTAATACCCTCTTCTCCACAAATAAATGACATTTTAGAAGCCTGCGGTCCTTATCTTCAAAATGGACTTCCAATATGAACAAGATTATTTCGATTGGTAACACGAGACATTGTTCAGTAGGCCGGGAGCAGTATATTAAATGTTAGAGATGTGCATAGTTTCCACATATTAGCTGTGTCATATGACCACTGTACTGGGGGTTTTGTGCATATGTACTGCACATGTATGTGTAATGTACTTGGTCTCATGGGAATACAGGTTGCTATTCTTTAGAGCATTAAATGCACCAAATTTCATAGTTGAGACTTAAAAGGAGTATTGACAGAAGGATTCTATTAATTTAGTTATGAATTTATGATCATGCTATTACTACAGTTTATGGTATAATCCTTGCAAGTAAAAAAATATCACTTATTTAAGAGCAGAGGGAGCAGTTACAAAGCGGCTACTTACCTTTGAACTATTTTACAGGATTCAGCAATATATGGGTATGCTTCCATATCTATTTAATTCTCTCAACAGAATATGGACCCAGAAGGAGTGGAATAAGAAATATGTGTGTACCATGTCTGGATTGAGCAATCTATTTTCTGATGGTAAATTTTTGAAGATGTCTTATCACGTTATGAAATTCTGTGATGAAAAGCTTATGAGCGGAATAAAGGAGTATGGTGCTTGTGATGTTTTCTCCATAGCTCTTTTGGAGTTAATCATTCCTCTGTTTTTGCGGGTAAATGATCCTCTAAATTGCAGTTGTGCCTGAACATTGATTGTAAATACACAACAGATTCTAGGTTGCATACAGCCGTGTGTTTACAATCTATTTCTTTCATATTTTTTCAGCTGCTCCGTTGTATACATGTACTTTGGAGAGCGGAAATTGGTGCTGACTTGTTGCCTAAAGCTGTTGAAAAGGCTAAAAGCTTGAGCTGTATGGAGCTTGACCATTTGCTTGAAATTTCTGATGGGCTGTACACTATTGACAGTCAGGAAATATTCCGCGAGAATGAGACAAAGGCACTGTTAGAGGGAACTCGACAGAGAGTGTAAGTACATTGCTATAGCGGTTCAGATATACTGTTTCTTTTTGTATTTTTTTGGTCGATCGATACTGGAGTACTTGGAAATGATGGGCGTGAAATATCTAACAGGCCCGAACCTCTCTCCTCCCCCCGCGTCGCCTCCCCGAGCGGGGCGACCGGGGGCTCTCGTCGCCCTTCCCAGCCCTCCCCTCCTCCTCCCCTTCCGCCGCCGTCGGCCTGGGCCACCGGCCTTGCCCGCGTGGTGCCGGCGGCGGCGGGCCCGGCCTTTCCCCCCCGCATGGCGCCTCGGCTCGGGCGGCCGGCGGCCGGCGGGGGTGCTCCTCGGCGACTATGGATCCGGCGGCGGCGCGGCTCCCTTGGCGGCGCAGTGCTGGGTGGCGTGCGGGCGGTGGCGCGGCCGCTTGGT